CAGCAATACCTTGTTTGGTTGGAAAGGCATCCAGAAATAGCTGCTCACAAAGGCCTTGTATCTGTCACTTCAGTGGGGCATGCTACAGGTAGCAGCTATTTGATGTAGTCTTTTTTCCTTACTTTCTTTGATTTGTTTTACACTTTGCTGTATGTGTAGCTGTTGAATTAGGGCCGCATAGAAGCGAATCTCTTAGGTGTGCTTTATCATAGACTGGTTTGGGTTGGAAGGGACCTTAAAGATAATCCAGTTCCAACCAGCCATGGGCAGAGACACCTCCAGTAGACCAGGTTGCTCAAAGCTGAGCCCTATCCAGCCTGGTCTTGAATACTTCCAGGGATGGGGCAGCCACAACTTCTCTGGACAACCTGTTCCATTGTCTCACCAACCTCACAGTGAGGGACTTCTTCCTTATGTCTAATCTAAATCTATGGTTTTTCAATTCAAAGCTGTTTGTCCTATCCCTACAGGCCCTTGTAAAAAGTCCTTCTCCAGCTTTCACATAGGGCCCTTTGAGGTACTGGGAGCTGCTAGAAGTTCTGCCTGGAGCCTTCTCTTCTCCAGGCTGAACAAGCCCAACTCTCTCAGCCTGTCTCCATATGAGAGGTGCTCCAGCCCTCTAATCATCTTCATGGCCCTCTGGACTTGCTCTAGCAAGTCAGTGTCCTTCTTATGGTGGGGGTCCCACAGCTGAATGCAGTACTGCAGGTGGGGCCTCAAGAGACCAGAGTAGAGCACTCTCACCTCCCTCAGGCTGCTGGTCACATGCCTTTTGGTGCCACATAGCACATGGTTGGCTTTCTGGGCTGCAGTCGCACATTAGTGGATCACATTGAGCTTCTTATCAATCAACACCCCCACGTCCTTCTTAGGCCTGCTCTCAATCCAGTGTCTGCCCAGCTTGTATTTGTGCTTGGGATTGCCCCAGCCCATGTGCAGGACCTTGCACTTTGCTTTGTTGAACTTTGAGGTTAACATGGGCCTATATCTCAAGCCTGTCAGGGTCCTTCTGGATGGCATCCCTTCCCTCCAGCATGTTGACTGCACCACATAGCTTGGTGTCATCAGCAAACTTACTGTGGGTGCACTCAATCTTCATTGCTGACGAAGATGTTGAACAGGATCGGTCCCAATACTGACCCCTATGGAATGTCACTTGTCACCGGTTTCCACTTGGACATGGAGCTGTTGACCACAACTCTCTGAGTGCGATCATCCAGCCAATTCCTTATCCACCAAGTGGTCCATCCATCAAATCCATGCCTCTCCAAAAAAGGATTGTGAAAATCTAGGTTGTTAGCTTTTCTTAATTTAGTTTAGCATTAGTCTTGATGAGTGGTGAAAGCATTTCGAGATACAGTCCAGTTTGTGGAATAAGCCACCAAACCTGGAACTTGAGCCTGATTTTTTTTGTAAAATACGAAGATAAATGGTAAGCTTAGCTTTGGAAAAATGCACACTTGGCAGATTGAATAACTTTTCTTTTTGTTTTTAAAGGAATTGACTGTGCTTGGAAAACCTAAAAAATCTCGAAGTGCCTTTAACATTTTTGTGTCAGAAAAGTTTAAAGCAAGTGAGGGAATTTCAGCTACGGTAAGTCAAGAAAGATTGTTCTTTAAAATAGATCTGCTGTATCCAGAAAATCTGTTTTAGATTCTGTAATTTTCAACAAAACTGTTCAGTAGGTCATTATGTGGGTTTTGCTTTGTTTAGGATATACATTTTTAAGGCTGCAACGATCTGGCTATCCTGCTGGTGGCATGTCCCATATAAACTGCTGTAGCAATGTTTGTGCGACTTTTTGCACTTCAGTGTTAGAGACTTCATCTGTTCATTCTGTAAGGAGAGAATTCTACTTTCCTTTGTTTTGGTGTAGAAATAGATTAGTTTTTCAAATGGTTGTGATTGCCTGCTACCCTTTCTGTAGTAGTGGTTATTGTATCTCCTGTAGCTCATTTGATGTTATGGAACATCGAAGAGTTCCTCAGCAGATGCATGAGGTCTGCACTTGGGGTGATTGAAGTTATGCTGCTGGATTACAGCACTTGAAGTGCTGGAGACTTCGCCTGTATGCCCAATGCATTTGTTACCTTATGCAGTTAGTCACAAAATCAGAGTGGTGGGAATAGTTTGTTCCTTCATTTTCTATGTACAAGGCAGGCATCTCCAGTCAGCTGAGGCCCAGTTTGACACACCTGTGGCCAAATACTCCTTAAGTAGTACAGTTTCCTGTGAACATGGTTAATACTTAGGGGGGCTTGGCTCAAGTTAGGGGTTGTTCTAAATGAAGCTGATAACACCCAGTGAGATGTAGTCGTGTTGCTACAAATCAGCTCAGCTGCTGTACCTGCCTGCTTTCACAGCAGGCTAAATGACTTAAACTGCTTCATGCTTATATTGTCTGTAAACATGCCCCAGATGAGGCCCAGCAACTTACTGAACAGTATAGTTTATTAATTCCCTTCATTGAGTGGGTGGGGTATTAAGCTTGTGTGACTTTGTGCTTTTTTACATTGGTTTGTATTTGGCTTTCACTAGCATGGCATGTGTAACCCTCTGCAGTCAGCCTGCTGGTAGAATAATTCTAATACATTGCATCTTTTATATCCTGTAGGCAAAGATGAAGCAATTATATGATACATGGCAAAAACTGTCCAGTTCCCAAAAGCAGGTATGTCAGTGAATTTCGATGAGGCTCTGATCTAACCAGGAAATGACAGACTTGAGTCAAAATTAATAAATTCATATGAAGTCTTGAACTTGGTTCCTCAAAATATGGTACTGAAGATAATTCTCAGATTTTTATAATGCATCTTGAAAAAGGCTGTCATTACTTTTATACTATTAATGACTGCTTCTTTACAGTGTTGATGAAATGTCAGTCAGTTGGATAGGATGGAAGTTCCATATGTCTGGACATGGATGCTGGGTGGCATTTAGGGAGGAAGGTGGAATAATTTGCAACAATTTGATGTTTTTTTCCTAATAATGTATAATACTGTTTTTTTAATGCCAGCATAGTAATTCACTGCTCATGGAAAGAATCTCACGGGTAAAAGCAACAGAAGTCTGCAAGTGATGTGCATGTGGTATTTTTTAACTTTGATTGCCTTGGGATAGTTTTCTGCCAGTGTGTTGAAATATGAACCTGCGGATGGGTACATGAAAATCTCAGCGCCCCTGAGATTTTTATTTATTTATTTTTTACTAAAATCTAGGCTAAACCTCCAGATTTTAAGTATTCTGTACCCTAGTGTCCTTCCTCCTGACTGCTCTTCTTCCAGATGCTTTGAATGTGTACTTAGAACATACACTAGGTTCATGTTCTTCCTGTAGAAAAATAATTTGAAATAGTTCTGCAGAAATACCTATTCCTCTTCCTTACATACACCAGCTCTGCTCTCTCAAACTAGTTCTTAAATTAAAAGCCTTAGCTGTTAGTAGCAATATTAAATAAACTTCCTCTTCAGGAATGGCCATCTATTGACATAATCATAATACAATGATAAGGTTTTGTATTTCTGTGCAAATTTGATTTTTTTAATTAATTTTCTGGCAGCCATGGTGAATGCCTGGGATCCGCACTGCACAGGTCCTGTTTGAAGTCACCTTTGCGTCAAAGGGGAGGATGTGACGTGGCAGTTATTCAGACAAAGCCTCTTCTGTAACTGTTGCTACCTCTTTTTTTTCCAGCCATACATGCAGCTTGCTGAAGATGACAAGATTCGGTATGAGAATGAAATGAAGCTGTGGGAAGCAAAAATGATTCAACTTGGACGTGAAGACCTTGTCCGTTCCAGACAGAAAAACCCAAAAAAGAAAACTGCTGAAACTGCAAAGAAAGCTGAACCAGTCAAAGCTTCCTCACATGAACAGAAGGTGAAACAGAAGTTAAAAAAATCAGAAGAATAAAATGGTCGGGAATTTTTATATTTTAATCCCCTTTGGTTGTCATATCGTCATCGTGCCGTGTTAATGCTGCAGTCAGCATTAGCACTGAAATTCGGAAAACCCATGAAGGGCCCTTTGGAGAAGGAGAAAAGGTGATAAGGTCAGAGAGGATTCAGTGTCCCTCAGAACTGACTGAAATAATCATTGCAGGCATAGCCTGAACTGTACAACAATAACTGGTTAATCAAGCTGTGAATAGTGATACCCACTGGCACCAGCAGAGCTCTCCAGCAGTGGTAGATAATAGCTATAGCTTTTATATTTTTTTTTATAAAAGCAACAATATTCTACGATGTTACCATCTAAATCCTGTAAATAAGAGCTGAAGTCCGAGTTAATGCTGCTGTGTTTTATTCCCTCCATGGTAATGGTAGTGAAATGTTCTACATTTCAGCAGAAGGTGCAAGAAAGGTAAAATGCTAACTTTTATTTCATGCATCTGACTTTTTGTACCTATCAGCTTGTGTATACCGCTTGCGTTGCATTTAATTAAAGACCAGATGAGTTTTCTATAAACATATCTTTATTGGGCTTTTATTCCATGGTTTTGTTTGGATACACGCAAACACTTTTGCCTTCCTGTTGTCACATCTGGGACAGCCTGGAAGGAACAGAAAATGTGTGAAAGGTTGGAACATGGAATTTCGGTGTAATAAACAGAAATTTTCAAGAGCTTCTGGAGTTTGTTGTTTTTTTTTTCCTGGAGTCTTTGTCTTAGTGAAAGTCTACTTTCACTAAGTACTTTGTTGCATCTGTGCTTTCAGAAGGCAGGCAAGCTTTTCCAGTAGTCAGTGGATTTCATCCACCCGGAATGGCCCATAAGAGCCAGCAAAGCTGGTAAATGGAAAGACAAATACGATTTCCTTGCCTCCCCTTTATTCGTTCCCCTTTTCACCATGCACCGATGCTGCCTCTGTGTGGCCCAGCTTCTGCAACCGCGACCCCGCCGTCCGTCTCACGCATGCGCATCCCAGCCTTGCCCAGCTCTCGCGGGAGCTGGCGGGGCGGGGCGTGGCGCGGCGCGGGGGCGGTTGGCGGTCTTGTGTTGGCGGGATGGGGCTGCTGGAGCTGTGTGAGGCCGCCTTCGGCTCCCCTGACCTCTACCGCGTCCTGGGTGTCCGCAGGGAGGCTTCGCCCGAGGAGATCCGCCGCGGCTACCACCGCGCCTCGCTCCGCGTCCATCCCGACCGCGCCGAGCCCGATGCTAAGGAGGAGGCGACGCGGAGGTTCCAGGTGAGCGCGGGAGAGAGGGCGGGCGGCGCTTGCGGCTGGCCGTGACTGACCGACTGACAGCCCGGCCGCCCCGTGTGTCCTGCAGATCCTGAGCAAGGCGTACGCCGTCCTGAGCGATGCGGAGCAGCGCGCCCTGTACGACGAGCAGGGCACGGTGGACGAGGAGGGCGAGGCGCTGGGCGGCGAGCGGGACTGGCTGGAGTATTGGCGGCTGCTCTTTAAGAAGGTAAAAGCGGGCAGGGGACCCCCAGGGCTCGCCCCGACGGGATAGCAGACCCTTGCGGGAAGGGGAAGCCCGCTGCTGCGCGGCTGTAGCAAGGTCTGCCCTACGAGCTCTCTAAAACTGGAGCACTGGGGGTGTGTGGTGTGTGCGTGTGTGCTGTCTCTTCTGGCGAATACATCCTGAAACTCTGCAAGTGTCACCTCTTTGCTTCAGATTACTGTAAAAGATATTGAAGACTTCGAAAAGAGATATAAAGACTCAGAGGAAGAACTAGCCGATGTTAAAGCAGCATACATGGATTTCGAGGGTGACATGGACAGAATAATGGAGTCAGTGTTGTGTGTGGACTATACGGATGAACCAAGGATACGGAAAATCATTGAAAAAGCCATTGCGGCTGGAGAAGTCCCATCCTACAAAGGTTTCGTAAAAGAGTCTAAGCAGAAAATGACAGCAAGAAAAAGGCGGGTAGGTTATATCAATCAGGGACCAAAGAGAACACGTTATCTATTACAAGCTTTTAATTTCCCTTTGGTAGAAATAAATGAAACTGCCCCTGAGCCAAATGTTTGCCCAGGGATCGCTGGGTTACAGATCTTGCTCAGGATCTTTGACTTCCATGTTTGTTAACCTGTGTTCTCCACGCCCTCCCAGAAACTGTTGTGGAAAGCTTCTGAGTTGTAATAGGCTGTTGCATATTACTTTTATTTCATTATTATACACAATGGCTTATTACAGTTTAGCATGTTCCTGCATTTATTTACAAAGCCATGAGTTGCCAGAGTTAAGAAGTGTACATGGTGGGAAACATTATGCTTGCCTTTAGGCAAGTGTGCAGTAACATTCAGGACTAAATGGACCTCTTCTGCTACCTGGATATTTGTAGAATATGTTCTATACACATCACAGTAACCAGTTAAATAGCTACTCAGACAACTGGCTGGGGGAAACGGGTGCAGATAGACGTCACATTCAGCATTGTGGAACACCAAGAAACTGTCTTGCTCGGCTAAATTGTGGAACCAGAATGGGCTTTCTTGGACTAATTTCTCATCTGTGGTCAAACTTAGAAACTGTTCATATTTCTCTGCAGCTATTTGTATGGAGATGCAAAAAATAACATTTGGTAACTACTGTAAGACTTTGTCAAATAACATGCAAAATACTTTTAAAAAAACCTAGTTTGCTATTTTAGGCAGAAAAAGAAGCTAGAGAGGCAGAAAAGACTAAAGATGAGCTGGGCCTTGGTGGAGAAGATGACTTGAAAGCGCTGATTCAGGTAAGGCTTTTTTCTATCTGTTAAACATAATTATGTTACTGGCTTAAAATCATGTTTTCCCTGAGCGCCTTTGTATTTTGGATCCTTGCAGCTGTTTTGAGTTCCTGAGGTTAAAATCTGACCTTGATGTTAGCTGTCTACATACTTTAATAATCAGAGAATTGTATGGGTTTTATTATCTGTGTCTTTTTTTAAATTAACACTTATTGTAGTATTATTATTGCATACACAAGCAGAATATTTGAATTCTGGCCTTAGGCAGTTGCACAGAGAGTGTCAATGATTCTTTCTGATGGATTCCACAAGGATGTAGGGGGTTGATAGGTCTCACTATTTTGCTATTGTGTCTCAGGGATGGAGAAAAGAAACTGTTTACGTTCTGCTTTTTGGGATGTTTTCTGGTTTTATTATCTTACCGTCCAGTGGCCTTCCTAGAATGTTTATGCTAAATCATTCCTCAAAATGTAATAGTTTGGGGTATAAACTAGAAATAGCTTTGCTTTTCCTGGCCTTATGTTGTGACTTTTACAGCCACGCTACCTCTCTCCATAATTCAGGAAGTTCGGTATGGAGCCTAGAGAATTCAGGCTGGCTTCTGCTTGATGGTACTGTACTTTCTGCAGCTTGCATTCCCTGTTTAATTTATTCCAAGATTTTATGTAGCCATCTAACTTCAATAGGATAATCTGTATTGGGAAGTAGTAAAAAAATTTTGTAAAAGAGTGGTTTTGGTTTGTTTTTTCCTCCCCCAGAGCAGAAATAAAGATCGAAAAAAGGAAATGGATAACTTTTTGGCCCAACTGGAAGCAAAATACGCGAATAATACTAAAAAAGGAGGAAAGAAGACTGCAGCCAAGAAAGGAAAAAAATAACTGTATAGGCTGCAATATCAGGTATCATTTTGTATGGGAACACGTGAATTTGGGAGAATTTCGGAGCTAACCTGGGCTACAGTTTTGGAGCGCGTGTGCATCAACTTGCTGTGACTGGAAGGTATGATCCAGAACACATCATATGAACAAGAAAGGCAAAGCATTCTGGTGCTATTGTCCAAAATCCTCTGGGTGCTCTTCGATTAAGATCAAACAGATTCTTGACTAAAAGTTTTGATACAGTAGGGAAGCAGTGTGATGTTTAGGCTGCCAGTGTGTTTATTAAACTTGTGTTGAAGATTCTTTCTTCCAGTCACCTAATGGGTATCGGTACAGTTGATGGTAAAACAATGTAATCCCACCTTTGAGTCTTCAGTGCTTTCTTGTGATTTCCAAGTTGGAAATATTATCTTTTTGCTATTATCATGTGCCTTTTGAGATAAACCTTCTGGTTTTAAAGGTCTTTGCACTTCAGCTCAACAAGTGTTTGTTAGGTCTTCCAGTGGTTTTATAAAGATACTTTGGAAAATTGCAGATTTAATAAATGGAAACTTTCTACATAATTCTTTGCTATGTTGCTTCCCCAGCCTGCTCTTTACTCTCTAGTTAGCTGTTCAAAACAAACTGATCATGTTGACTCTCTGACTAATTTAAGTCAAGTAAATACTACATACTTCTATAGCACCAGAAAATATGGCTCTATTAATAACTGTATGTCAGTGCACATGACTGCATTAGATGAAAGGGCCACCTAGTGTTGGGTCTTTGATTGCCTGTGGCAGATGAAATAAGAGTACGAGACTGCAGCATGCAGCAATTCTGTAACACTGAGATGAGGCAAAAAACTTAAAAATAGACTGAATTGAGTATTTTTAGGGTTTATGATGTCCTGGGACAAGGAATTCCAAAGCTTAAGAAATGTATTGCATGTTATTTCAATAGCATCACCACCCAGTTTGCTGTAGGATGGTAGTGATTAGCTACTTCATTGCTTTTGTCAACACTTCTGTTATTTCAGACGTGAATTACTGCTGTAAGATGCACAAACACTTTAATGTTTTTTTGCTTCAGTTTTTAAACCATTTAACATAGTGCATAGGGGTATGAATTTGAAGGGTAACTGGTTTTCAATTCAAAGGAATGGGGCTGGCTTTATTTTGTGGATCATTTTTCAAAGGTTTATGAGCCACAAGGTGAACATTACCTGTTGAGTTGAAGGTCCTCATTGCTGCAGTGGTAGCAATCAGGAACTATTTAATAGAGCTTCCTGGGGGGAAGCTAGAGGTAGATGATAACTCTGTTCCCTTTTACTTGGCTGCTTGCAAAGATTATTCTGAGAGTGTAGCATATTTTTTGTTATGTTGCACAACACATGACTTGAACATTACTTTTCGTATACAAAATAGATATCTAACAGCCCAGAAGAAGTCTCTGGTGTCAACCATTTGTACAGAAATCAGTAACTACCTTATTATGAGACTGCTTTCACTTTTTTAACACACTGACTCCTCTAGGCTGTAAAATACTATTACTATATACTATTACTAGAAATCTATTCAAGTTTATGTGTATATTTTTATAACTTATGCACTAGGGCTACAGAAAACTAACCTGGTCCCTGAGGAATGGCACTGATAAAAAATGGGATGCTTATCTGCAGTTAAGCTTGAGATAACTAAATGACATTATACAATGTTAAGAGAAACTGTATTTTGAAAGGGTTTAATCACTAGAGGCCTCTCTTCAGCATCAGTTTCTCTCTATGCAAAGTTAAGAAATTTAGACTGAGCCCAGTGTGCTTTTTCCTTTCTAGAAATGCAAAGGAAAATTAACCCAGTCACATGTGCAGAGTTCTGCTTTGCTTTCTTTTCCCTTCTTTTTGATTAGAGCACACTTGGATCAGCTGGACTCAAGAATTTCAATACTGATTAAAAAATACTAGTTGTTCTGCAGGTACCAATAACATTTGACAGACTGCGTAACTCAGAGTGGCGAAACAGGGGAGCCACTTCAAAAAGAACTCTTGACAAGTTTTTTCCATATGAATTGTAATTTGAAACATAGTAATAAGGAAATTCAGAAAAAAATGCTTTTGAAGTGGGTTATAAAGGAGCAACTGTCTTCATGCAGAGCCCTAACTTAGCTAAAATACAGTAAGTGGTTATCCTCTCCTTGTGTTTATACTTGTAGTCTGGTGCTTACTGTTTGGGACTAAAACCTTGACCTAATCACTTATTTTGAGAAGCCTGTATTTCATGTTTTTGTCTTATTTGGGGCCACAAGGGGAACTACAGCTAATACTTCCAGTATGTCTGTCACACAGTGGAGAACGCATCTACTAAAAGCTACACTGCATCTGCAAGTTGTGGAACTTCAGGGTACAGTGCAGAAATATTGTATAATTGCAGGTATTTCTGGAAACAGAGGCTGACCTATTCCGTAAAAATACTGTAAAATATCCCATCAGGAAGATAATGTATTTTTTCTTTGAATACTGTCTGGAACTACTTGTACTTAAAAGACTATTTTTTGCCTCTTAAACGTTCCTCAGTCACTGAGGAAGAGGTGTAAGTATATAACACAGGACGAGTCAGTGGTGTGCTACCCTTGAACCTATCAGTTTTGTTCATCTGGTTTGCTACCTTAGTTTTATACATGTGTATTAATATCTGCTGCAATTACTACAGGATTCATAACTTAGGTCTAAGTTAATTTGTAGAAGCAGTATCATGTGCAGTGCTTGCTTTTGATAGTGTAATATTGCTTTAAACATAAAAATACAGTTATATAGTTCTAAAAAGTTTAAGTTATTATTGCTGTGGAAGGCCTGATTAATTTTCTGAAAAGCTAACGGAAAAATCAACAGGTTCTGCAGAACCTGCCCATAACAACATGATCCAGTCACAACCCCGTAATGGGAAAACAGCAACGACTGAGAGCATTTGATAGATTTTCTAGGAATTAGGCTTTACTGCCCACCGGAGTGTGATCACCCTTCCACCGGAGTATAACTCTTCTCCTGGTAGAAAATGGAATGTTTAAGTATACCCCTTCTAATCTTTGGCACCTGCTTCTTAGATTTATATAAAAATAACTATTCAAAAGGAAGGGTGTTTGAAAACTCTGTAAACAATGTTGACATTGCTGAGAATGAGAGGTGGTTCATGACTCTGTGGAGATGGATGAATGCTTCATGGCACGTTAGACCCCTGTTTGCTTTTTGTGACTGATCCGCTTCGCCTGTGGGTTTTCACAGACCTATGCAGCTGAAGACCTAATAAACAGAGATCATGTACAACTTTTAAGACCTCCAGAAAGTATTAAAACTAAGTACCAAATACAGCTCTGCTAGCTTAAAACTAACATGCTTTTTATTCTAATACATGGCTATCAACTGCATTATGTGTAACTTGTCTCAAATTTGCACAAGTGATTTGCCTTCCAAAAGGGACAAAGTTTGTGCTTTCATAGTTGCTGCATTGCAGGGAACTACTGTATTCCTTGATATTTCATCCAGTATTTAAATTGTAAAATTCATCTTGCATTCAAAGATACTGTTAATCTGTTGGTTTGATTTCTTTTTTTTGGGGGGGGCGGGGGGTGGGGGTGGGAAGAGCAGGTATTTTCTTTCATTTCAGTAGGAACCACTTCTTCCTTGTTTAAAAACAAGTTACTTTAGTGCCTTTGTTAAAGTTATGTTTCTTGTACTACTTATATTAATGGTAATAGGCCACTGTGCTATTAAAAAAGCAGGAAGACTGCTCCTGTCTTCTAATGATGACCCACGTACTTGCTACTTTAACCTTCGCAGCTTACATTAACTTTTGCACCTTCAATTATATCTTGTTAGTATAGTTTTATGTTGGAAATTCTGTCAACATCATAAGGAATCCCAAAACACTGTGATGAAAGGAGTCCAGTGTAACTTGCCTTAACAGACCTCATTTTCAGAAAGTGCATCTAACACTGTGCTCTGTGCCACCCTTTCCAGGTGGAGGTGATGCTTGGCTTTATATTGAAGCTAGCAATGAGTGCTTGAGGCAAACTCAGCTGAGAGCTATCAAGATGGCATTCAGAAAATCTGTTCCAGGGCACAAAGGTAACTTTCTGCTCTACCATGACTTGTGAACAAAATCCTTTTCAACTGACTAGGGTAGCCCTTGCGTGTGCAATAAGAGGTCGAAACCTAAATCTCTGAGGGTAAGCTTCGCTGGTCTACTGTAACACTTGTCTACACACATGCAGCTTAGTACTGTAGCTTCCTGCTATAAAAAAGAAAAAAAAAGTTGTAAAAAAAAAACAAAAACAAAACCCAACCCTGGTTATGACTCTGTAACTACTCCAATGCATATATGAGAACTGTTTTTGAAGCGTATTAACCACAAACAAGATGACTTTGCAGTGAAGGAAGACAAAAAAGATGGAAGAGTTATGCATTACATTCACACCAAAAATGCCTTCCTGCTGCCTTGACACTTTGGTTAATTAAAAATACGTAGTTTCAGGTGAGATTCATTTTAGGTTATGCCAAGTAACTCCATTAAGTTTATCCAATTTTTACAAATTAAACAGTACAAGAAACTCGTGATTTCAGAGTACGCATGTGAATTGTACAGTTACTGGCTTTAAAATATATTTCAAGGTGATCTAAAACAATTTTAAGATCTAGTAGAATACCTTTCAGATACAGTGCAAATAAGTTTCCTTTGGATATAAGACAATTTTTTTCAGTTATACAGTTGAGCAGAAGAAATCCCCTTGACAGAAAGTAGTTGTTGCTAGTTTCTGTTTAAACTGGCAACTCCTGCTTTTACCTTTGACATGAGAGCCACAAGGGCTGATTACATGAAGCTTCCTTAAATGATTTAAAATAGTAGGTGGTAATAAAAGCACACCTGCACCCAAACATATTCTTTGCAACTATAAAACCTGTATAATGGAAAATATATTTAGAACTTTGAAAAGCTTCCTGAACACAGTTACCTATGTAGGAAATGCATCCCTGTCCTAAAAGCTTACTTCTTCCTTGATATTAAATTCTGTGACTGATGAGCATACCTGAACCTATTGATCCTCTGCTTGTCCGAGACTGACTACTGTGATCAATAACAGTGCAAGAACGGCGGCGCTGTGGATCTAGCTGAAAAGAAAGTTCACATTATTTATGTTTGCAGACAAAAATCTTTAAACATCGAGATGATAATGCAGATTCAAACTAATTAAACACATCTAAGATGTGGTAAAGGTCTAAGTAGAGCTTTTACAACTTCAAGAAGAGTTAAATCAACTTTAGGAGTAGAAAATACTCTTTTAAAACACTCGTACTTAGAATGACCACAGTTAAAGGCACGCTCAACATTTCTGGAAATAGTTCTGTTTCACAGTAGACTTCGGAAAGTTTGTTTGCTTGTACCTGCTAAGTCAGGGATATTGAAACTATACACAGAAACTGAACAAGCAGCTATTTAAACTCTACTGTTGAGATGATAGCTTTTAAAGCCTAGACCAAATTCTTTGTTAGAACAAGCTAGCAGCTGTGTTTCAATAAATTAAACCAAGAGAATTTAATACAGAACCAGGCTGGACATTGACAGCACAAAAAACTTGTGCAATAAAGCAGTGTTTCTGAATATAGCTGCAGAAATTAATTCTTCATGTCTATGCAAAACTTTAAAGCATCCTCTCCTACCTCACAGTTCTTAAGCCTTCACAGAAGATGCTAGATTACCAGTGCAGGTGAGAGATTAAATGTTATGCCTAAAGTAATACTTAGCTTTCTGCACAAGCATTGCAAACTTCCATTTTTCAAGGAAAGTTTAGTACCAGCAACTACACATAGATGTAGTTCAGAGCTGGCTATGAGGACTATAGTGCTTTAGCTATCCTGAACAAGTGACTTGCCCTGTTTGTTTCAGAAGTGCCAAGCAATGATGTTTCTGTTAAAGTGAGAGTATCTAATCAAGTGGCAAATCTGATGAACTCCCTGCCACTGATTGCCTATGACCCTTGCTTCTCAATTAATATTTAACTGTCAGAGCACCCTATTAACTGTCAGAGCACCCTATTCAGAAAATTAAGATGATCTGGTATAATTTGCATGCTTTACCAAGAATGTGTTGGTTGTGTTAGGCTTGGATAAATGATCAGGTAAGAGAAGCCGCTCCTGTAGCTGCTGGTGGGTATCTTCTTGTGCTGTTACACTGTGAGCTCGACTTGAATTCCCTCGAGATTTCTGCATTGAAGAACAGTTACAAGTTTTCCTTATTGCAGCAGCACATTTAAAATAATTAGCCTAGAAATTAAAGCTGATTTTCCAAGTCAACCATCTTATATCTAGTTACAGAGAGGAAAAAATTCGGGCATTAACTGGAATTAAAACAGTTGACTCTGGGTGATGCTGATAGTCAAAACTGATAGGACTTTTTGTGCATCATTTCAGTTGCTGTCACAAGGTAACAAATAAACTGGAACTCTTGGGTTTGGTAATTGGATCAGCACTCATTGCAATTTTAGACTACTGAATAATAAATTATTGTGCCTCTTACCGTTTGCCTCTGGGATCCTGCAGTGCTCACATGACCTGCCATACTGGTGGTATTAATAGGTGGTAGGAGATTATTTCGGTTTAGCAGCAGTGGGGAGGGTGAGGTAAGCTGCTCATGTGCAGTCAGACTGAAATGCACCAATAAGAACAGGAAAAAACATACACTTTATGTCTGCCATGGTGTAAACACACAGTATTGTCAGTTTGTTTGGCATTACATAGACAATGTTAAAAGTAAGCAACAATTGCAGAATTTTGCCACAAGATGCTGGTGTTAAGGCTGATTACTGGAGACGTGCGTGAAATTTGGCAGAAACCTTTTTCATCTATTAACAAAAACTTCTAGTTTTCAGAATGTTTAGTATTAAGCATATAGAGAAAGTGAGTCTGAGAATGAATACCCCAGCCGAAATTGGTGTATGTAAAAGCTAGCTGGATAAAATGCATCCAGTGCCTGTTGGAGTGTCCTGTGCAGCTGGTACTGCAGAACAAGGGGGGGGGGGGGGTGTGCGTGTGTATATATATATGTTATCTTCATGTGCAGTTACCACACAATGGTAGAATCTTGTCTGCCTATTCCCAGGCACAGCATTATTTTCTGCTCTTTGTTCTTAACCTTTAGGATGAAGTACTGCTAACTTCAGACTAGCAACTAGAGCTATGCAACAAGCCTATAAAACAACAGTGGCCTGCATTTTAAGCAGAGCAGGTAAAAAAAGCTAGTGCAGAGTATAGCTCTTTCACTTATTACAACCATCATGTAAAACATCTGGGGTAAAATAAGGCTTCCACCTTCTTCATATTTTGTTTATTTGAAGTAATAGGTGCAAGAGGCTTTTGGAAGCATTCTAAAGGAAGCTAAACTAATCTAGTTACATAAAATGTAACATTTATTAAGTTTTGGTCACAGAAGGCATGAAAAGAGAAAGTTTTCTTTTCTAGATAAAACCTCTTCCTAGGAAAGCCTTTTCACCTGAAAGATGTCTGCAAATTATTGTGTGTTTGAGAAGTGCTAGAAATGATCAAGAGGTCTTAGCTCTGTACGTGTTCTGGAGTTGACTGAAGGAAGGATGTCTTGTAAAGAGGCATTAAAAACTAATCAGCATTTTAAAAAATACTTTCCTAGTGCATACATTTAAAAATACATGGTATTAAAGGGGAGATGTTAACAATCATTAGATTGAACAAAGCCTGAGGAAAGGGAACAGAAGCATTAAATACTGGAAGTAGAAACATCAGTTATGAAGGGACAAGGACCAAACCTCGACAGAGTATGTGACAAAAAAAAAAAAAAACACAAACAAACCAGGCTGAATGAGTTTATAGGTAAGCTGAGAAACTAAAAGGAAACTGTTAATTTACAACACACGTGGAATAGAGCATATTAAACCCTGCATTGTTTCCTGATACCCCAAGGTCCCTCTAAATGACATTCACTCAGATCATTATGCCAAACAAAAAGAAGACATTCTAGATGTAACTGAGGATTTACCGAGTTGATTAAAAATCCTTTGGTCAGATAACCTAAAATGGGCACCTTCTTTATACCCACTCTGGACTAGAACAGCAACAGGTAGTTTGAGCTCCAAAAAATACAGACAAAATACAGCTCAAAAACAGGCTATAGAAAAAGAAAGCCAGTGTCAAGAAAGATGGTGGTATTTGCTTGTGCAGTGCGCAAAACTACCTAAATATGTGATTCATTGAATCACAGCTTGTAGCACAATAAATACCAACTTTAGTGCCTTTTCAAGGGAGATTGTGCTTTAATGGGTAGTTAATTCCTTTAATCAAATCATTCATATTCTTTCTATTCAACTGAATGCTTTTAGTATAAACTGGGTTCTCTAGATACGGTAACTTGCAGTGAGAAACTGGTTTTAAAACATACAATTGAGTTCCCCTGAAGACATCATCCACAGACCCTGGGGTCCCAGTACGAGAGTGGCTTGTGTTGATGGGATGCAGGGTACGTGGCGGTGGGTTTCGCCTTCTTGTGGAATGTGACAGGGATGATGTGCTGAGCTCCAATGGACGATTTGGCCACACTCTGTTAGAGAGGATGGAACTGGAACCCAGCTGTTTGTCATCCAGATCCCTAACAAAAGAATTACAGAACCGAAAGAGATATAGTCAACCTGACTGACACCTATAAAGTACTCATTTACATGTGACATTAACAATATTATATGTGGATAGAGATGATGTGTTCAATTTGTGGTTTTTTTATGTAATTTATATAAAGTAATTTACAGCCAAATTAGAAAATAATAGGGGATGGAAAAGATAAAAAAAAGCCTATCTTTTTTTCTTCACTGAACTATGAACTTTCCGATTGAAGATTCTTGGATCTGAGCAAATCTCTATGCCATCTTAATTTCTTTTCAGGGTGTCAGTACCAATGCCACGGCTGTTCACTAAGTGCTAAACCAGCAGCAATCAAACAGAAAACCTGTTCTAGAAATATACTGTTTCATAGAAGACAAATAAGTAAACAACCAAGCAGGAAAGCATTTGAGAATTGCTTTCTCCAGTGTAGACAGTTATCTCTCAATATTTCAGGGTGAATCCCTCTCACCATGGGAGTGCTCCACTTTACAGATAAATTTGTAGTTCTTACAGCGTTTTCTCCATTACAGGCAGATTCCTTTGCTGTAGCTGGATCCCCTGTATTACCATCAGTCCATTTAGATTATGTTGAGAGCCAGTACTTGACCCTTGAGAGAGATTTACCTGAAAATTTAAAAAATAAGGGAGTAAATTACACTTTTCAGAGACATATACACGTATTTATAGATTTTTTGTCCCTGTGTGGACTTTTGGAAGAATGAAATTAATTTCTTCCATGATATCCAGACATACACTCAGTTACATTATTTCCCCGTCTAAGGCATTTTTTCATCCTATTGTTCTTGCAAATGGTAGTGCTTAGAAAATGTATCCTACCATGCTATGTCATACTTAATATTTTCTAACAGAGCTTCTCATTTGCATGGCAGGATCTTCTAACAATGGCTGTAATTCCAAGCTTTATAAAACTAATTTTCAGTGTATGTCGACATTTTTTGTCAAGAACAGACCTGCAAACTCCTTTTGTGGAATACAGACTGATCTGGAAAAACATCAAATTCCGCCCACTGTTAACAATAGCAGACAGAAAATACCAGAGCTTTAATCTCTCCAGCATACATACTTGAGGTGTTTTTCTTCTCTTTTTGCTTTTGCGGCCACATCTGGGTTTTGAGCACTACACATACAGTAAAGGGAACATGAGGAAGAGGCAGAGGGTAGAAATAAAGGAGAAAAGAAATGAGAAGGAAAGAGCTGAATTAAAATGGAATAACAGATAACACTTTGTCACTCACCCCTCTGGGAGCAGATAATCTAAAATAGGTAATATAGTCCAATTTAAGTGTCTGAGTTAAAAAAAGCAACCTGTTTTATAACTGTGGTGGGATTTGCCCTTTATTGCCTTCTGAGTTAAAGCTAGTGAGAATGGGATCTCAATCATGCAATCCTCTATCTCACAGTTTAGATCAAATATTATTAAAATGTAGAAAGAAGTACATCACTAATGAACGGTCAGCACAGTTGTCCAATACATAACCAAGTTTTAAAGAGAAAAGCAGGAACTAAAATATTGCAACTGAGAAATAACAGAATTTAAGTGTTGGAAAGGACAGTCAGAATTCACACAAAATCCAAACTCGTCATGTATTTAAACAATCTCTCAATGTACTTGAATCTGTTTGCTTAGGTAGCACGGTATTGATTCATCCATACACAAAACGGATGGCTAAAAATACTTACCAGATTTGAAGTCACTGAGGGCATTTTAGTTTGTGGCACGGAAGGTAACAACACTGGCAGAGGATCAAATTGTAAAGCACTTCCAGCATCTGCTCTGATTGTTTCTACTGCTACGATATTTTTCTCATCATCTGTGCAAAGCAATAGAGAATTCATGTCAATGCAGACTGGCATTGCTGGTTGTGGACTGTGCTATTTTTGTGAAGAGAGTCCTCTCAGATGGTAAGCTCTGTTAAATATTTTGAAGGCATGTCTCACACTGTTAGAAGAATACACCACGTACACCCCCGAAGAGATTATTCCCAAATAAATCTCTCTCATTACATTCTTGCAAAATTGAAAACTGAAATCCCCTTCTGGATCTTCAGTTTAACCTACCAGAGGCTGACCCTTCCCAGTGTCTGCAGATTAATTCTTCCATGCAGCTTATGACTTCACTCCACACATCATCAAACACAAATGTAAGCACAGAATCCTTCATACAAGCATATGGAGAAATAGGAGGAAATCCCAGTTTGTGTCTACCAGAGGACAGTCCCTTTCTCCTCTCATGCAACTCCTCCTCCCTGTAGAAACATAAGCATTACCTGTACCATAAACATATTTTCTTTGTCATATGTTGTTGCATTTATTTAATAGGATCAGATAATGCTGCATTTCTGTTCCATTTTCTCCTAACCTGAAACAGGTGAAGGCAGCTGGCCAAACAGCTTGAAGACAAGCTGTTAACAATTTGAAATACAATTTGAAATTCCAGGAGAAGTTTTGTATTTATCACACAGTATTATTTTCTGAAAGCAGTATCAAATAACAGCGTAATAGTGAAAGAAGCAAGCTTCCGTACATCAGGCACTTGAACTTTCGTTTCTTCCAGAATCTACTGCTGATCTAAATAAGAAATGACAGGGACAATCACCTCATTACAGCACCCCTTCTTTTCCCCACACAGTATCACTATAAATGATATTCATGAATAATAAATTAGTTACCAAGGCAAAGTTCCATTTAAAAATAATTATCAAAAATTTAGATGTAAATATTTTCAGATGTATAGATAAAATGTAAATATATCTAAATATATTTATATAAAAATAGAAATATAAAATTAAGTATTTATAAAAAAAAAGCATCAATAGTTCAAGTGATATCTGTTCATTTGTCAGGCTTCATTCATTTTTAGACAATTACATGTAATCAATAGAGGGAAGAAAAAACATAATACACAGCAGCAAGTGGCCTTTGCTGTGCTCTTCCACAATGCAAGAGGTATTCTGAAGTGTGAAACCTGGAAGACAACTGCACAAAAAAGCTTATGTTCATCAGCCAAAAGAAACCTTATAGAAGAGAGAAAATACTGATGTGAGTATATTCGTTACGGCTTTCTTGTATGTTCCCTAAATTAGTATTTACCATCCAAAAACTACAAGGCGGGGGGGGGGAACCCAAAAAAACTAAGGAGATGCCTCTAGAAAAAGCTGTAATACTTCCACTGTTGTTTCACAGAGACAGCAATATTGTTTGCCTCAGCAGTGTCCCTCTGGCCTGGTCAAAGCATGCCACCTACCAACCTGAATCTCATGGTCCATGCAGTTAAGTGGCTTTCTTTTTAAAACCAGTTAAGTAGTTGGCAACTTACAGTACCACCCAGAGTCCTTACCCAGGCCATATGTTCATATTGTTGGGTTGAATGAAGGGCAAAAAGAATCTTCTTTATACTAACTTTAATCCTTTCTTCTTAAGATAAAAATAGTGATTTTTTTTTTCTTGGCAAGCATCAAATCCACTCCCAATTCTTAATTTACCACTTAAAATCTGGAAAGGTACAATTCCACCCAAATTCCAGTACAAAATCAAAGTAGCACACTGCTAGTGCGTAACAAACAGCAATGAATTTGACTTAGTATAAAAAATAAATGCCATTTAAATAAGTTTTATTAAATATGCACATAGAGAGCAGGCTATTAGTTATGATGGAAGGAACTATTTAAACCAGGCACAAAAATGGCTAGTACAAAAACCTACCCCAAAAAAATCTGAAAAATAATTTATCAAAATAAATTGTTCTAGGATTGGGAGCATTTCCAGTGCCCAAGCATCCTACCTCAGGCCTTTGAAAGTTCTTTAGGGAAAAGATATAAAGAAATAAATTCATCAAATTTATCAGCTATCAATTTATCAAAAAAGAAATTATCAACATCAAAACCAAATATATGTTATATATATTTTGTTAATATATATTGTTTATATATTAACTGCAGGAATTCCAGGATACTGATACTAGCTACTATCTTAATATTCAATACCTACACATCTCTGTGGTCAAATGCTAAATATTCCTCCATTACGCCTTCAGAGACAATTACTCCATCTTCACCTTCTTCACTCTCTGGAGAACACAAGGTCGGAGACTTGGAACGGTCAGCCTTTTTGTGAATGGGAGTAACAGAAAGAGGTACCTTCTTGCCAAAAACACTAAATCTGAACAAGTGACAGTTTTCAGAAAGCAGAAATTAAAACAAGTTGTTATTCCATTTCAAATAGCAGCATTTTGTGAACTGAGAGACAACATGGTAGTTAAGGCTGAGCAGTATTGAGGCCAACAAATTATGTATTAAAGGAAAAACTTTGGCCTGAATATTTTTAATTCTTGCCAAGAACCTTAAATCTTCAGGGAAAAAAAAAAAAATCAAAAAAAAAAAAAATCAAAGCTAATTAAAAATCATCCTAAAACACTAAATGATAAAAGTACCACTAAACTAGTGCTTTGTGGTGTTTAAGTTCTATACAAATTTAATAGATGATAACAATAAAACCAGCTACAATACATACATATTCTTAAGAAGTCAGTAGCAGCAAAGGTATTTCTATTTACTGTCCACTTTACTGTAGTTAGCAACAAGCAGTCTTGCTATTTTGAATGCTGTGTTCAAAACTCAGCCTAACAGAAAGGAGTTAGGGTTCACATTTTAAGAAGCTTGCCACTGCAGTCTACTGAGAACAAAATTACCTTCCCACCTTGGTACAGTCTGGGTTAACCACTGGTACTTACTCATGAGAATCTTTTTCTGGTGGTGAACTTACATCTGAGGAACCTGAACTGACAGAAGGTAAACTTGAATACCATCTGTACCCTTCATCTGTGGGGATCACAGTCTGCTTCCCCACAACTCTGCCATGGCAAAAGCAAAGGATAAACACATCAGAAAACACTGACAGTATGATTATTGAAGAGTGTGAGAAAACATAGCAGCAAATCCTAAGAATTCTATGTAGTTTTCTTTATGACAGTTGAAAGTGGTTTCAGTTGTTTTTCTAGTACAGATTGCTTTGAGTCAGGTAAATACATTAGGAAAGTGCTGCTTGGTTTTTTATGCTCTGCTAATTGGAAGACTTTTGAATGTGTATGAAACTGTTCAAGTTCATGTAGCCAAGATTTAAAATGTAAGTTTCTAGACAGCCATAAGTACCGCTGAACTAGGGCAGAAGGATTTTTATATTATTTTAAGCACATGGCTTTCAGCTCAACCATACATCTTTTCTGAGAGAATTTGGCTATGTTAAGGCCAAGTCAGTTGCAAATAGCAAAAATCCTCTAGGAAGGAACCAAATGCGAGATAGCAGGATGTTTATTAATGAGAATGGCAGGCAGACTACCAAAGTGATCTTTTTATCTCTAGTTATAAGTAGTTAATTCTAGTTATACTATAATACTACAGAATTATATAAAACCACCCTGTTACTAATGCTGTTTTAAAAGCAACTGCTTCCATCGCTACCTATAACTGTGATGGTACTAGCATTAGTCTATACAATACCTGAGATGAGGAAAGTTGGATGTCCACTGCTGGCATTCTTCCCGCAGTTCCTCAACCTGCTCATTTTCTTTCTGCTCATAGAGAAGCTCATCAATTTGTCTGAGCATCTGTTCAACTTGCTGTGTGGCAGCTTTATCAAATTCCTAGAAAAGAAAGTTATCCAATAAATACCTACTGAATAGCATTCAGAGGGGAATTTTAAATAGATTTTTTTTATGTAATTGAAAAAGGCAATTAATTGTTTAAAGTTTAGTAGGACTTTAACCAGTTCTATTTTTTTTTCACAGAAAGACATTAACTTTAAATAATTTCTCTCCAGTGATAATGCAGACTGCTGTTAAGACTGATGTTTACACATAAAGCTTTCATTGACACTACAGATTAGCTATTAAAACATTTTAAAATATCTGTACTGTTATATTAAAAAAATAGCAATTTACAGAAAAGAAATCAGAACAGGAAGTATACATCGACATTTTAATGTAATGGAAAATCTGTTGCTTGCCATGTCCACAGACAACAGCAAAGCAGAAACCAGTGCAGGATGGTGTGTTACACTGTGCAACTGATGGATATTCGGGACCTCTGTTACATGTTCTAGAAAATGGGGTCAGTTCTTGGGTAATTTAAAATCTAAACAGTTCCATCTAACCTCACAGAAAGCAATGGCATGCTTTGTTTGGGCAGACAGAGAATAAAATAAATATTTCTAGATTAAAATGTTTTATGGTCTTACTGTATTTTGAGAAACATACAAGTATGCAGAAGTTTGATAAACTCACACCAAGTGCCTGAAAGTCATCCATTCATGTCTGGGATTCCACAACAGCAGCATTTATTATGTTGTACAGATAAACTTATGCTTTACATGATCTGCATTTTCAAAATGCTAGATGAAAATGCAGAATATTAATTGAGAAACATGAGCCTGGTATGTTTTAATCTGAGAGAAAGGAATAATGGGGAAGAGGTAAAGATGTTCTTTTATGATTTAGGGAGAGATCCAATCCTCATTTTTATCCTGCAGTGTATTTGCAATGGTATTTCAAATGTCTTTCTACTCAGTGTGCTAGATTTGGCTTGAATGATTATATTCTACTCACATCATAGCCCCAAGAGAAGGCTGAGCTGTCTTCGGTAGAGGCGTCAGCATAACCCTGAATAGCAGACCATGAATTCCCACGATCAGCTGGAGTAACAGAAGGATAATCCGATTCCTTCTGGGTTTCAGACTCCCTGAAATGAATATATTGAGTCAAGATAAAAAAAAAAAAGAAAAGAAAACACCCAAGAATACACAATGACAAACTTTTCTCTCCATACAACAGAAAACATATCAGAATAGATCTTGGCAATGCTAAGAGTTTTCATAGGGTAAATATTTACTTCAGAGGCATTTAAGCAGAACCTACAGTACACAAGTAATTGTAACAACTGTAACTACTAATAATCCCAATGACACAGGAAATCTCGACGTCAAGCAAAGCACAGATTTTCCAAAAATTATCTCAGTTAAGCAGCAGACTATTTCCAGTCTTTGTTCTGCAGCAGTCAGAAATTATTTTATCGTTTCTCCTCATTTCTGCCTTAAAATTAGATGACCCAAGCCATTTGCGAGATGGGAACAGAACACAGCTACATGCTTTCTATTACTGCCAAAATAGGTGCCTGCTCTTCCCATTGTCTCCAGACAAAGATTCATTTTATGTTATGATGAGTACCTTGAGGTCTTGCCATGGTTTTCAGCCCTGGGTGTGGCTGGGTGCACCTCAGCTCCTGGTTCTGGCAGTGGGTGATGCCGCAAGGTGTGTTTTGGAAGTCCCTGTCTAAATAAGACAAGAAGTGGAACTTGACATTACTTACAGCAACAAATATCTACGGAGGTCCCACAGTGGTTTTCTGTTTGTTTTTTTCCCTGCTTTTAAGGAATGCACTAATTTGCATAACAGAGCTCATTTATTAATATCAGGCTAATCTTTGTTACCAAAGCTTTAGAATTAATGTATCAAAACTAACTCTAGGCTAAACATGGAGTTAAAGGGTTTTGCTTAAAAATCAGTGTCTTCATTTATTCTTAAAATGTTGAGAATTGGTCTACAGTTCTCTAAAAGCAGATACAATCTCATTATGCCTGTAGGTGACTTACAATCAAACAGAACAAGAGCAGCCACCAAACCATGCACAGGCAAGCCAGGAGAAATAGTATTTGCCTTTTTTTGTTTGTTTTCCAGTTTATATGCTCAGGAAAGAACGATGAGAAAAGTCACAATAGTTGGAGGCAGAGAAGTATCAATGCAGGAGCAAAAGTCTTGTCCCAGGTATCAGCTCAAAAAGCCTTAGGTAAAGAAGCTGCCTCTCCTGTCATTTCTCTGCTGTTCAGAAAAGACGACTGAATTAAGCATAGTAGTAGCGAATTACCGAACTGTTGTCTTTGTTTAAACCTCTCGCTCCCCCCCCCCCCCCCCCCCAAAACCCAAACCCCAAAGCGCCTACGCTCCCGTGAACTCTTGGGTCAAAAAAAGAGAGGACAAGACCAACGATTTAATCGCGTTTTCTCACACTTATGTTTTCCAAGCGACGAGTACGCTCACTGGCCAGGATCGGTGTGCGCACGTTACCGTGGCTGTCCCCCACGCCCGGCACCTCTAGAGGCAGCACCGCCGGCAGCTGCCTCGGTACCGCCACCGCACCGCGGTAACGGCACCGGGTCCCTGCAACTCCGCGTTAAACTCGGCCCACCCAGGCGTTACCGGCAAGCTGCGCCGGCAACGACACGCGGTAACCGGGGCCTCGACCTGGCACAGGGCCCGGCTCTCGGGCTGAAGGGCAGTGCGAGGCGGGCAGGCCCGAGCACGGCACCAGGCGGGAGCGGGACCTGGCTGGGGCAGCGGGGGCAGGGACAGCGGGCGGTAGCGGGACAGGAGGAGGCAGCAGCGACTCACATCTCCAGAGCGCCGGGAGGCACCGGCTTCCGGGCGTATCGCGAGATCATCCTCAGCTCCTCCGCGACGCCGCCGGCCACCGCCGGCCCGCAGCCGCCATGGCCGCACCACGCCCCTGGGGAGGCGGAGCAACGCGTTACCGCCCCGCCCCGCTCTGTCCTGCCCAGCGCGGCGCGGTCCGACTCGGCCTGCTGTCATGGAGGCGATCCGGAAGGCCGCGGTGCCGGAGGATGCTGTGCGCTACTGCCTCTTCGCGGCCACGGGGTCGGGCGGCGAGGCGCTACTGCGCCGCTGCGCCGAGGGCGTCGCGGTGCGATTCGCGCCGCTCCTTGCCACCTATATCTGGCAGAGACAGCCCTTCCGTCTGCGTTATGTGCCGCCGCGGGGTGAGCCTCGGGGGACGGGGGGTGAGGGGAGCCAGGGAAGCGGGATGTGTGAGGGAAGCCCGGCAGGGCGCTGAGCCGCCTCTCTTCGCCCCTGGCCAGGCGAGATCCCGGCGCACCTCGGCGGCACCACGCTGTTCGGAGATAACGTGGAGGATGAGTGGTTCATCGTCTACCTCGTCCGGGAGATCACCAGGGAGTTCCCGGGGCTGGCGGCCAGGTAATGGCTCCGACCGCCGCCGCGGGCCCAGTGCTGTGCCCGGCGGTTGGGGCATGGGGTGTGAAGGGACCTCCTGACGGGAGGTCATGTCTTAACGTTAAAATAAAAAGCAGACATGGCTTTGGAAGTGCGTGTTAATTGTGTTGTGTGAGACTTTCTCTGGTAAGAAACCAATTTCTGCTTGGCCAGGATCGATGACAACGATGGAGAGTTTCTCTTGATAGAAGCAGCTGATTTTCTCCCAAAGTGGCTGAATCCTGAGAACAGTGACAACAGGGTGAGTAAAACTTACGTATGTGTTGCCAAGTGGCTCGCAATGGATCTTTACCAGTTGGAGTTTTCTCTTGTACTTCTATGTAACCAAGTGGTCTGACTGCCACTGAAAATCCAGACTGCTGTCTAGCCCTCAGTAGTGAAGAAACTTCTGGTCAAGGCTCAAGACTTGTTTTAATTAACAACATAGTTT